CCTACTGTCTGTGCCAACAAAGTGAGACTCTATCTCAAAAAAAAAATTAATAAAATAAAGACATCACTGAGGCTGCACAGACCTCAGTTTTCTCATCTATAAAATGGCAAGTTGCAACACATGTAGCAGATAAAGGGCTAATATCTTTAATATATATATTATTAAAAACTCCTAAAAATTGGTAAGAGAACGAGAAAAAAACTCAATAGGTAAGTGGGCCAAAGATACACATTGGCAAAAATTGAATGGAGACAATATCTAGCACTGGCAAGGGATGAGGCATGGCAGGTGGAAATGAATACTGCTGCAGCTTTCTGGAAAGTAATGTGGCACCAGGCATTAACATTTAATTATTTTTTATAGAGATGGGGTCTCCACTCCGTTGCCCAGGTCGGAGTGCACTGGCTGGATCTTAGCTCATGCAGCCTCCAACTCCTAGGCTAAAGTGATCCTTCTGCCTCAGCCTCAGCCTCCTGGTAGCTGGAACTACAGACTTCTGCCACCACACAGGGATAATTTTTTTTTTTTTTTTCACAACAGGATGGACAGAAAGAACACAGGGATAATTTTTAAATTTTTTTGTAGAGATGGGGGTCTCCCTATGCTGCCCAGGCTGGTCTTAACTCTTGGCTAAAGCAATCCTCCCACCTCCGCCTCCCAAAGTGGTGGAACTAACTACAGGCTTGAGCCACCGCGCCCGGCAGCATTCACATTTTAAATGCACGATTTAGCAATCCACGTTTGAAAAACTAGCCTGTAGGAGCAAAAATGCCAGGGCGCAAGACTATTCAACACAAAGATATTTGTTGCAGCGTTATCTGCAGTGGCACAGAATCGGACCCTTCTTTGGAGGTCCCTGGCCCGCTGAGGGGTTCCAATGGAGTAAGTGAGTTTGTTGGCACTCCGGGGCACGGCGAGAGCTCCGGCTAGTGACCTTTAGGGGCAGCTAATTCCAGTGGAATTCCGGCGGGAAGGCGGGAGCAAACCTCCAGGGGTCCCCTTCTGGGCTTCCGAGAAGCTTCAGGGACAAGTCCTGATGAGCCAGTCGGTGGCTCACGGGAGGGCGAAGGTTAGCTGCGGGTGTGTTCCATCTCTCCGACGTCTTTCCCAGCGGAAGCGCGGCCTCCACACGGACGCGGAGCGAGGGGAGGGGAGCCCCCAAACCAAAACGAGTTCGCAGGCCGAAAGGGGGT